TCCTGCTCAGTCCTGCATATGACAGGGGAGAGTAATCTTACAAATCTTTTCTCCAGTACTGTCTTCTGGGTAGCTATTTTCTATCAGTTGTAGTTTTTAGGACCAGTTGGAGCCGTTAAGTTTTTCTCCAACCAGATGGGGATTGCAACAGGGACAGTTTTTTGGTCAGATTCATACTCGGCGAATTGCATTTGTCCCTCATGATCTGCAGTGACTGCAGCCCAGGGAGAAAAACTGTTAATAGTTGTGCTCATTCAGATCTATGGGGCAATTTGTCCCAGCATTTATAATCAAGGTAAGCATCATTGAATTAGACAGTAGTACATGAAAGCTCTGAGTAGAAGCTCCTACACCTTGGAGTTCTTAAAGTCTGGAAAGCTAAGAGAGTACATCTGAGTTCTGCTCTAAACAGCATTACTTAAGGCTGTAGCATCTCTTTTGTGTTTTCTTTTTCTTCTCATTGTGATTTTATTTAGGAGTAGATGAAATTTAAATAAAAAGCAGTGCAGTGTTGGCTGAGAACTAGCAACACCAACTTTGGGTTCGTTTGTAGATGGACAAATCAAAGCAATGTGCTCCATTAATTTCTGTTTTTATATCCATAAAAATAGAGTTGAAAGCCATTCTAATTCATTAAATAAAACAGCAAAAGAGATTAGAATGTATTTTAATGGATAAACAAATTAGTTTGAAATGTACATGAAACTCAGGAAAACAACAGTAGTCTAAGCAATTTAAATGTGCTATTAAAAATCCTCAAGCTCATAACATCTGTGTTTTTTTGTGTTGGAGTGGAATATGCTTTTCTGATAAACACACTCTGACTACCATAAATCCTTATCAGAACAGGGGACAAGTAGACAAGGGCTCCTTTTGGAGAGTTGGACAGTTATATGCTAACTGCAATATGCAATAAAATAAACAGGACTTTTTTTGCTACGGTTGTTCCTTTGGAATAATAAGAATATTTAATTAACTAACACTCTCCATACAAGGAGCTCAAAAGACTTTCAGAGAATTTAACTTAATTCAACTTCATAGTCTTATAGTGAGAAAAGGGAAGATTATTACTTACATTTTACTGCTGAAAAAATGGAGGTTTAAAAAAGTTAAACAGCCCATCCAAAAGGAGGCTAGGATTCATTATGCCTGAGTGCCTGTCTTTTCTGATTATGTTTTAAGGATGTGCAAATTACAGTATGTCCCCTTTTGTTAAGTATGGCATTTGAACTTACTTTCTTGCTAATTCAACTGCTAAAAAGACAGAACTTAGACAATACTTTTGTGGTAAATCTCTAATACATTTCAAATGCTAAACCATGATCCTTTCTCTTCAAAAGTATTTGTCCTTTTCCTTTTTCACTCTAACTTCTCTTTGTGCTGATAGGGAATCCACATTAGTAAGGAAGTTCTCAATCATCAGTGATATTTCTAAGGCAGCATTATAGTAGAACTGCTGGTTTATAGTCTGTGTTTCAGTGACTAAGAGGTTAATTGCCACTTTGTATTCTTGTGGCTTAATGAGCAAAAGCTGCATTAGTAATAGTGACTATGTTAAAATGTCAAACTGACTTTTGAAGAACATTCCCTGGTAAAGGAATTAAAATTCAAGAGAAAATTGCAGTTTGGACTTTCAAGGGAGTGTGGTTTGGAGGTGATGCATTGGAGTGGGGCTGGCATTAGGGTTGGGAGAGGGACAGAGTCTAGAGCTGGAGCAGGAGTGGGGCTGGGAAGAGGCTGCAGAAGGAGTTGTGTCGTCTTTTTCATTTGGGCTGTGTCTTGGAATCTTGGTCTGCGGCTCAGTCGATGTATAGGACAGAGAAATAGAACTGAGAGCTGCAGTTGAGGAGAGGCTATTAGCATCTAAAGAGCAGATATTTTATCCATTTAGTGTCACATCCTTGGATATCAGGGCTTTGCATGGCCCATCTCTTGCAAAAGCAAAAAACCAGTTTGCCTACACTTTTATTTTCCCAGGATACCTCGATCAATCATATTCCCTCACACACTGAATGTCCTGCATTTAAAGGAAACTTGCGTGGAGGCTCTTATTGATGTAAATGCCTGATTATGCTAATCAGAATTTTCCTGAAACTAATCAAGGATTTTGCTGTTATCTGTTGTTGCCAAAATGTCCATTAATGGAGAAATCATTAGGTTAGGTAATTGTTCCTTTTCTGGGAAGAATTTATGCAAATCAGAATGGTTACAGAAAACCAGACATGCTTACGGGAAAATCATGTAGAATTAACAGAGAAGAAATGAGTAGGTTTGTGTGGGCATTGTTCCAAATGCCTTTATTCTCACATGAAAAACTAGGCCCCTTCTTTGTCTTACTTCTTGTGGTGTATGTAATTGTATGGAGGTACTTGTTTAAAGAGTTTTTTAACAGAAAATGTGACTTCTAATAGATACACAGATAATGTTTCTTTCAACTATGTAATAACCAACTGTTTTATTTACTTTGTGCCCATTGTTGTCATTCAAGGTGTGGTAGAGATTTGATGATTCAGATCTAGTTTTGGATATAAGAATCTTAGAATATGCAGTATGGTCTGTGCTGTTGGCTAATAGCTGCTGTAGAGAATTGAAGGGAAGCAACATATTTACTGCCAGGAAAAATCGAGACTTTCCCCTCAGTAGCAAACCTTTTTGAGTAAGAGAGTTTTTAAGCTCCAAAATGGCTCTGTTGAAGAAGTATTACTGCAAGGCAGGTTCTCAGACCATGGAGGGGGCTAAGACTGAATGAGTTCCTCCAGGGTAATGTGCAGCAGAAGCACTCCTGGGAAAGCTAGAATCTCTATGCCATTTTGTCAGGAAACAAAACATCAATTGACGTTTGAAGTCTGCAGATATTTCCTGCTGTGGATTATGTATGACAGTATTACTATATTGACCTCTGTTTACAAACTGTGTAGAAGTTGTTCACTTTTTCTTTGTCCTGTGCAAAGTGAGTGCATCCCAAAAGCAGAGTGCTAGGAAATAAGAATAATAATGTTTTCTGTAGAATACTAATGTGTTCTGTCTTAGTGAGGCAGAAAGTGGAGACAGTAAAGAATGGAAATGGCAAAAGTTCAATCTTTTCTCCTCCATGAGTTTCACCCTTGAATCAGCTTTGTGCATTAAAATATGTATGACTATTGCATGGCACTCCAGGAGTTAAAATCCAAACAAAATGAAAATACCCAACCTGTTCTTTCACCACCCTCGATGAGCAATAAACCTGTAAACCCAAAAAGAATATTAAAGGTGTGATGGTGGTGGTGGTAACCATACTCATTAGTAAGCATGCTAGGAGTATAAAGCTTGCTTTGAGCTCCTTAGCTAGTATTTTTGGCCAATTGATTGGCATGTAATTACCCATGAGGCATTGCTTATGGACACCTTCAGGGTGTTAATGTTGCCATTGTCAATTCTCATTTATTGCATTTACTTGGTGTCTTGAGGTCCTAACTCATGTAATGATACAGCTGAGGATCTCTGCTTTCATTTTATAGTCCTAGACATTGGAGCTGGGAAGAGCACATATGGTGTGTACAGAATTTTTCTGGAAGGCTTGCTGACCTTTGAAAAATGAAAGAATGAGGAGTGGAAGACAAAACAAGGCTAATATGATCACTAATGACACCCTGACTTTTACTGGTTTACAGTGGTTCTCATTATTGGGCTTGATAATGATTTAGGCACATTGACTGTCTGATTGGTTATACTCAGTATTACAGTTTTTAGAATATTGTTGGTTGGTCCTTAGTGATGTCCTTTAACATCTTGTCTTGAAGCTCATGAAGGGTGTCAGAAGACCCACAGCAGATATGATTTAAATAACACCCACTTGTCCCATTGGCAATTTTATTTCCATCTTGTTCAGATTCTTGCTTCAGTTACCTCCCCTACCACAGAGCCCTTCTCTGCCTATGAGCATGTCATTGAATTTCAGTGAGTTTCACTTTCTTACTCTGTAAAAAGTAGGTAATTAATGCTGCTCTACTTTACATATGAAGCAGG